TCCAGGACGCCCTTGCGTTTCTTCTGCAGCACAGGAAACCTTGAACATGAGATCATCCCATCTCAGGCGCTGAATAATTTGGACAATAGGCTTGACCCATAAGACCAGCTTATAGTTGTTTACTAGAGAAGTGAGGTCTATAGGAAGGGAGCGAGGTCACTGGACACTGTTGAAGGGGACAGTGGGTGTCCTCTCCCTTTTTCGCACCTGCTAAATGGAAGGACTCTGCTATGGTACTAAAGTCAGTGAGCCTCCAGGAACAGAAAGCAACAGGGCAAACCGCTCATGGGCTGAAGACCTCTGGAGCTCTGGTGCAGACCCAGCGTGTCCTCTATTCAGCTGATTCTCCTCGGGTGTTTTGCACTCATGTTTGTTATAATCCCATCGCTGGGCGAGGCCTGGCCCACAGGAGGAATGCTACACTTTGCTCATGGGCTTCAGGAAAAGGTAAACCACACAGGGGCATAGGTGAGGAGGTGAGAGCCCCAAGTCGCAAGTCAGCCCCTCAGGACTAGATTTAGGGACATGCATGTCACAAGGAAGTATGGTAGCATGGAGCGCTAGCTGATATCCCATTCCTGCTAAGTCCAAGGCTGGAGGGTCACCAACTTAAACAAAGGTACAGAAAAAAATGAATTACAAAAAACAAAGCAAGCATGAAAGCAGAAGCAGATAGTCTGGGTCTGAGGAAAATGACTGGAAGGAAGGGAAGGGAAGAGAAGCCGCTCTGAGGAGCTTTGCTAGATAACGGCTGGGTTGGCTTTCAGAGGAGGAGGTTTCCTCTGGGCTCAGAGGTCATCTGGTCAAGGCACCTTCTTGAGGAGTGGGTGGTTTCAAGCAGACTGAGCTACCTTGAATGTCCTTGGAAACCTTGCCAGATGCCGTTCCCCGCGGGTCTACAGTCAGAGGAGTTGACGATGGCAGAGGTGCCAGGAGCTCCTGCTCAGCAGGGGGTCTGCTAGAAATGGCAGCAAAACCAGTAAGGAAAGGCAGTGGACCCCGAGGGCTAGTCTATGCTTTCCCAGTCTGAGAACTCCAAAGCCAACTGCCACACAGAGTCATGAATATTCCCCACTGCTCAACCGTCTCTCCTGGCTTCAGGAGCCAAGAACATGGTTCTCTGCTGGAGTCACCTGCCACAGAGAGGAGATGGGGAGACAGAATAACACCATGATCTTAAGACCGCCAAGCTCTCCTGGAATGGAGCTCAAGAAGGGTTGTCAGGGAGGGGCAGTTCAGTCTTGTTTTCAGATGGTTCTGTCAAAGCCACTGTAGGAGAGCAGAGGGACAGTGGCCCAGCTGAAGCAAGTCACAGCAGGAATACCTGCTCAGGAATCTCCACCTAAAGCCCTTTCTTTGACTTCTTGGAATATGGTTGTGCACATGAGACAAGGGACTAGGAGACACGGAACAGGACACACTCTAACACCCACTGCTAGGAAATCTCTCGACCCACCTGGCCAGAGGAAACATTAGCCACAGATGCTGCCCTGCTGAGCTGGCCTTTCAGTGAGTTTGCAGTTGACTTTGCTGCCTCTCTGTGACTCACTATTGCAACAGAAGGACAGAGTAAAGAGTTGTGACAAATGGCTCTTCAGAACCTGCGTGGACCAGTCTGAGCCTGGCTCCTCGCACTTTCTCCTTTCTTGAGCTGGCTCAAGCCAGGAAGTAGCAACATTAAGAGTGCAGAAGGCCTCTCTCTGTGGTCATGTCTTGTGATAATGCTGGATGCTCCTTAAATCTTATTCATTTTTGGCCAGCTTGGTCTACAAGAGCTAGTTCCAGGACAGGCACCAAAGCTACAGAGAAACCTTGTCTCAAAACAACAACAACAACAAAAAAAAAAAACCCCAAAAAACCCAAAAAAACCAACAACAAAAAAACCTTATTCTTTTTTAAAATAACTTTTTTTCTTTGAGATTTTTATGTGTATGCGTGTTTTGCCTGCATATGTGTCTGTGCACCACATGTATGCAGTGCTTACACAGGCTCCAGGAGGTTATTGAATCCCTGGAACTGATGTTACAGATGACTGTTAGCCACTATGTGGGTCCTGGGAATCGAACCCAGGTCCTCTGGAAGAGCACTAGTATACTCAACCACCTAGTCATCTCTTCAGCCCCAAATTTTACACCCTTTAATTTTTGTTTGATAGTATATTGTTTTGAGACAGGGTTTCTCTACCTAACCCTAGCTGCCCTGGAACTCACAATTATATGGACCAGGGTGACCTCCAACTCAGAGAGCCACCTGCCTCTGCCTCTGGAGTGCTGGTATTAAAGGTGTGTGTCACCATGTCCAGCTGCCTTTTAATTTTTTTGATAGTGTTGTTTCCTTAAAAGACTTGGGAGCACGGCAAGACTTAGCCTACTCTATGGGGGCTTTCTGGCTATGGGCAAGTTCCTTGAACTCTGAGTATCCCTTTCCAGATCTCATTTCCAGGCCTATCAGGGTCCTCTTCCACACTGGGCCAGTGAGGTCCTCATTCGTCCCCTAAGACCTGAGCTAGAGGATGGTGTGGAAGAGGTGGCGTGGCACCAGAGGGGCAGCACAGTTTCTGCTCAGGTACCCGCTCTCCTGTCTAGCCATCCGCTCAGGACCAGTGATCCTTAGTGCAAAGGCCTTCGGCACGGATCTCTGCGCCTAAGAACTTTCTCTGCCCTTTCTATTTCACAGAGTTTGAGTGACCAAGGCTGAGTGAAGAGAGGCTGAAGCTGACCAGTGTGCAGCTCTGCTTCCTTGCTGCTCAGAGAGACCTTTAAAGTCAAGTGACGTGCAGGGAAAGGAGAAAATACAGTGAGTGTACTCATCTGTGTAGACCCGAGAGATCGCCATTGGCGGGACAGTCCAGGAGTTGTCCCAGGAGTCAGGGTGGGGTTCAGTTTCCCTTGCCCACTGGGTGGCTTCTCCATGCCTGCCTGTGCCCCAGCCTGGGTGTTCCATGGTTTCTGCAACTTCCTTTGCACACATTTCTCTCACTTTTCTGACCTATTTCCCACTCCCTTGCCCTTCCCTAAGGTATCTCTCCCGAGAAACCACTCATACCCTGATCCTTGTCTCAGGGTTGGTTTTAGTAAAACCAAAAAATTAAGCAATTGCGTAGGAAAGGATTCTTCAAAGAGAAGGCCTCTGAGCTGATGATGGAGGAAGGTCATTGGCTAATAAAGGAACTGCCCTGGCCCATTTTATTGGTTAGAGGATAGGTGGGAGGAGTAAACAGAACAGAACGCTGGGAGGAAGAGGAAGTGAGCTCAGAGTCTCGACAGCTCTCCTCTCAGGAGCAGACGCCTGAGAGATACGCCATGCCCCGCTCCCTGGATGAAGCTCCGACCCAGGATGTACATAGGCTAGAATCTTCCCGGTAAGCGCACCTTGGGGTGCTACACACAGATGATTAGAAATGGGCTAAATTAATATGTGAGAATTAACCTAGAAGAGAATGGGCCAAGCAGTGTTTAAAAGAATACAGTGTCCATGTAATTATTTCGGGGCATAAGCTAGCTGAGCAGACAGCTGGGGTGCTGGGGAAGCAGCCCCACCGCTCTTATTACTACAAGCTGAGAGCTGGGCATAGGGAAGGAGTTAGCCAGATTGGAACCACTATGGGGGCGGGGGTGGAGGAGGCCCTAATTTGTGCCAGTCTTGAGCATGGAACAAAGGACTGTGTTGGGGCTGGCACACAGCAATGGGTAGGGACGGGAGGACATGGTGTGTAAGGAGTCAGGCACGAGCCAGATCCTGCAAGGCTGACCGTCACAAACATGGGCATGTGGACAATGCATGCCTATGTGGCCGGCCTGCCTTCTCTTTCCTTCTCAGCTTTCCTTAGTTCTATGACCCCAGGCTGGAGGCAGAAACAGCTCCACCTCTTGGAATGTGAGATGACAGGAAGAAGCGTGGAGGAAGCAGCCATCAGTGGGGATGATTTCCTTCCAAACTACTGAGATTCCATCTTGGCATTTAGATAACCAGTTCCCAACTAAAGACACCCCTTCCCAACCCCTTCTCTCATATGTGAGCAAGGAGGCTCTTGTGGATATGTAACTGAAGTGTCTCATCACAGACAGTAGACAGGCCTTAAACTTAGAGTGAGGGTGGCTAGATCCGGTTCCGGTTCCCCACCACTGTAAAAGGAAGCTGGCCAACCTCAAAGAAGTCACTTCATATTTTGGGACCCCCTTTTTCTTTTCCTTTTAACAGTGTGCACAGTAGAAGGAGATGCTCTCTTTAAACTGAAGCAGGATGCTCACGTTCCCAGGGTGTGCACGCTCTGCTCTCTGTGCTTTTGAGAACAGAAGTAATAGGTCTGGGGAAATGGGTAAAATGCTTAAGGTAGAAGCATGTAGATCCAAGTCCAAAACCCCATAAACTACCTAAAGCTGGGTGCAGCAGAGGGCATCAAGTCAGTCTCCTCCCTGGGACCTGGAACACCACAGTCTCTGAGCTTTCCTCGTCCTTTTCATGGGAAGAGAATTTAAAGCTAAGTTTCCCCAAGTACAAATGTAACCATATAACATAGAGAAAATACAGTGAAATACAAAAAAAGGTAAATGCATTTTGATTGACAGCACATTTGGTTGCCTTTTTTTATTACAGTAAAATTTAATGGTAAAGATTCTGTAGTAACGTAGGCATTTCGTGATGTGCTTACAAAGTGGTAGACATAGGTGAAGAACCCACCAGGAATGCTAATTCAACAAGCAAGCGCCCTGTAGGCAGAGGTGAGCACTGTAACCGTCAGACCAACTGAAAACCAGAGTGAATTCTTAATATCATGGGGATCTGAGTTTAAATTGTAGCAAGACAGATTCTGTCCATCACTGATCCCAAGACTAATCAGGCAAAAAATCAGACTGGGAGGATAGCTCATTTGGCAGAGTTCTTGCTGGGCATGTATGCTGCTCTCAGTTAAATTACCAGTGAGAGAGCCAGGATGGGGAGATAGTTCCACAGTGTTGGCTATTAGAAAGCTCGGAGAGGATTTTCTTTGGCTGTGATATTTAGTCCAGAATCTCGTTTCCTTTTGGAGGCCTCTTTATCCGTGAGTAGGGACTCAGGGTGTCATCCATCACAAAATCATACAGTACTTTGATCCAGGAGCTGTGATGGGGGAGTTTATCGTAGTACTCCGCTGCTATTTTCCTCACCTGGAAGTGAAAAACACAGCAAGAGTGGGTGTTACTGAGGCCACGAGATGACAGGTGCGTGTCTGACAGACAGAGGGACAAAATACCGAGCCAGCCAAAGGGCACCACCTTTGCTCATGGTTCTTCACGAATAAGGACAATCTACACATCATATGCACAGTCAGGATTCAGAAGTGTTAGAAGATCTGCAAAATCTATTACTGGGTAAAGTGTAGGGATAAGTCCCGCCCCTTAGGGGGCGTGTTCGCCTCGGGCTAATGTCTGCCTATAAATTTGGCGAGCTTGCTCAGAGCTGTCTCTTCTGCTTTCCTGGTCTCCGCGGGAACGGTGGTTCTGTAAGTCTATTTCTAAATTAAAAATATATATATTCTTACAATCTGTCTGCATTCGTTTATGCCGCTACATTTTGGCGTCCAACGTCGGGCTATTTTGCCCCCGACTCAAGCGGGTAGCCCGCTAGCTAACACAGCACCCTCCTGGGTGCTGTTTTTCAACTCGTGACTCCGGCCCCAGTGCCAAGTCTGAGACATACTCGGCCACACAGGCCCATTCTGCCTGCCTTGGCTAAGTTTTGCAGCAGAACCCCACTGCCTGAATTAGCAGAAGCTCAAGTACCTGCGGTTTTGCAACAAAAGCTGCCACAAGTGACTTGGCCGGGCAGTGGTAGCGCACGCTTTTGATACCAGCACTTGGGAGGCAGAGACAGGCGGTTCTCTGTGAGTTCGAGGCCAGCCTGGTCTACAAGAGCTAGTTCTAGGACAGGCTCCAAAAACACAGAAACCACCACTGGCAGGAACCGATCATTGCAGGTAAAAAATTTTTCTTTTATAAATAAAATGTCTGAACACATTACTGTTCAAGAATTTAACAGTTTTTTTAATTGTACCATGTGGGAGATTTTACAAGAGGTGTCTATCACCCCACATCTATGGATCCTTCTGGGATTCATAGTTTTCATTGGCACCAAATGGTTTGATAATAGAAATATGATAAAGTCTTTACGAGACGAATCCAGGATTCTTAAGGCAGAGATTGAACGCTTAAAAACAATTGAGAATGATAACAATCTTCTCAAGAATCAGTTTGAAGTTCTCCAGGCTGATAACAATCTTCTCAAGAATCAGTTTGAAGTTCTCCAGACTGATAACAATCTTTTCGAGAATCAGTTTGAAGTTCTCCAGGCTGATAACAATCTTCTCAAGAACCAGTTTGAAGTTCTCCAGGCTGATGTTAAGGAGAAATTCATTACTATGGAAGAGGGAACAGCTGATTTGGACAATAAGATTCAGTCCCTTTCTGTAGGAAATGAAACATTAACTGAGAGAATCAAAAGTGCTGAATGTGACAATCGGATTTTGTCTAAAGCTTATGACAGATTGACGGAAAGATTGTCAATACAAGAAGGCACGGTTTATGCCATAAAAATTATGTCCAAAGATGAGATGTTATCTCTAACGGACAAACTTCATACTTTAGAATCCTCAATGAAGGCTTTGGAACATAATTCTGGACAGGAGATTCAGACATTGCAGAAGGCAATGGTGAATAGAATTGAAAAGATTGAGGAATTTCTAAATTCTGATGAAGAAGAGCAAAGGGTAGAAAGGCAAATTTTAACTACATCTGTGGGTAAGTCTCTCCGGGACAATTTCCACAAAGCTCTACCTACAGCTCTACCTGCCTTTCCAGTAATAACAACAGAGAAGGTGATTGGTTCCAAAAACCCTAGGGTCATCAAGGAGGATACATGGGAGCCTGTCCGTATGAATGACCTCAAGGAAATTAAACAGGCTGTCATGACTTTTGGGATGCAAGCCTCTTTTGTTAAAGAGATGCTAAGATCTTGGGCCACGACAAGCAGAGCAACCCCCTCGGACTGGCTCCAGCTGAGCTCTGCGGTACTCGAGAGTGGACCGCAATTGAAATGGCAATGCTTATTCAGGCAAGAGGCTAGACTCTTAGAACAGCAGGAAAAAGCGAAGGGAATTGACATTTCCCTAGATCAAATTCTAGGTGAAGGGCCCTTTTCCGATCCTCAGGAACAAGCTAATTTGGGTGAAAACACACTCTCCATGTGTACTACAGCAGCCTTAAGGGCTTGGGACAGGGTACAAGACCCAGGACAGAGAATGGAATCATTTGTCAGAGTTAAACAGGGTCAGAGAGAACCCTTTAGTGACTTTTTACAAAGATTAACTAAGGCTGTACAAATAGGGATATCTGACCCAGAAGCAAGACGTATAATGATTGAGTCTTTGGCTTATGAAAATGCAAATGTGGAATGCAAAAGGATTTTGGGGCCTTTAAAGCTCAGATCAGCGCCTTTGGAAGAATGGGTCTTGCATACACTCAATGTTGATACATTTGATTATGGCACTGAAGCATGGGTAGAAGAAGCAATTTCCAATGGTAAAAGGAGACACCAGAATACCAAATGTTTTAATTGTGGCAAAATGGGTCATATGAAAAGGAATTGTAGACAACGGATTTTCAGAAATAATAATAATAATAATGCATCTTTCAGAAATAATAATAATAATGCATCTTCTAGAAATAACAGAAATAGGAGGACTCAGCCTTCAGGTTTATGTAGAAGATGTGGAAAAGGCAGACATTGGACGAATGAATGCAGGTCTACAAGAGATAGACAAGGCAACCTGATACAGTCGGGAAACGTGAGAGGGGGGCCTCACAGGCCCCCATGGCAAACATGGTTCAGTCATATCCAGTTTCTGCAGAGAACGTGCCTCATCAGGACAATTAGGAAGCCCCATGCCTACTGTTAAAAGCAATAATGATCAGAAAGATAAGTTACGTGTGTTTTGGCAAACTTCTATAAATGATCAAAGACCTAAACTGAGAGTGTGTGTAAATGGCATTTTTATTACTGGCCTGCTGGACACAGGTGCTGATGTAAGTATCATTACCCCAGAATCTTGGCATCCGTATTGGCCTCTTCAGAATGTAAATGTTCAGCTCCTGGGAATTGGAACCCTATCTCGAGTAAGGCAGAGCACGAGATGGGTTGAATGTATAGGGCCAGAGGGACAAATAGGAAAATTAAAGCCATATGTAGCCAATATCGCAATGAATTTATGGGGTCATGACCTATTACAACAATGGAATACCGAAATTAACATTCCTGCTAAATCTAGAGCCTATATTTCTGAGAATAATATTAAAAGATATTACAAACGGAGAAAACCGGCCATTCGGGCTGTACAAGAACAAGCAATTGATGTCCCTTCAGAGATACCAACAGCCTTGCCTCTAAAATGGTTGACTGAGAAACCAATATGGACAAAGCAATGGCCTTTAGCTGAGGAAAATTTACAGGCTTTAGAACAGCTGGTACAAGAACAATTAGATGCTGGACATATAGAAGAATCTATCAGCCCTTGGAATTCTCCTGTATTTGTGGTTAAGAAAAAATCAGGTAAATGGAGAATGGTGACAGATCTCAGGGCCATCAACAAGGTTATTCAACCTATGGGCCCTCTGCAATCTGGAATTCCTTTGCCCTCTTTATTACCAAAAGGATGGCCTCTCATAGTTATTGATTTAAAGGATTGTTTTTTCACTATACCTTTGCAAAAAGAAGATAGAGAAAAATTTGCCTTCACAGTGCCTACTTATAACAATTCTCAACCTTCGAGGAGGTACCACTGGACCGTTCTCCCCCAGGGTATGTTAAATAGCCCCTCCCTGTGCCAATATTTTGTGAACCAACCATTGCAATAATACGCAAGAAATTTCCCAAATCAATAGTATACCATTACATGGACGACATCTTGTTATCCGATTCAAACATGGATACCTTGAACAGACTGTTTGAAGAAATAAAGATACTTTTACCTAAATGGGGATTGCAAATCGCTCCTGAAAAGATTCAGAAGGGAGATTCTGTTAATTATTTAGGTTATAAAATAGGTTTGCAAAAAATTAAGACACAAAAAGCACAAATTAGGAGAGATTGCCTACGGACTCTTAATGACTTTCAAAGACTGTTAGGAGACATTTCCAGTCTATGACCAGCTATTGGAATAACACCTGATCTAATAATTCATTTGAACAAAACCTTGGATGGTGATAAAGATTTAAACAGTCCCAGAGAATTAACAGCTGAAGCAGAAAAGGAACTGACAATGATTGAGGAAAAATTACAACAGGCACATGTGGACAGGGTGAATCCAGAGCTCGATTGTATTCTCGTCATACTACCATCAAAAATTTCTCCTACAGGAATTTTAATGCAGAGAGATGATATTATTTTGGAATGGATCTTTTTACAACATAAACCAAGTAAGAAACTGAAAACTTATGTGGAAAAAGTCTCTGAGTTAATTATAAAAGGCAAGCTGAGACTTCGTCAACTAGCAGGCATAGACCCAGCAGAAATTATAGTGCCTTTCATTGCTGATGAACTAAAGAAATTATGGGAAGATAATGAACCATGGCAAAGAGCTTGTGCTAATTTTTTGGGAGACATTAATAACAACTATCCAAAAAGTAAGCGGCTTAACTTCATAAAGAGAACTTCTTGGATTCTTCCTCGAATCGTCCGTGATGCTCCAATAACTGGAGCCGGTACATTCTATACTGATGCCAATAAATCAGGGAAGGCAGGTTACAAATCAGAAGACTTGGATAAGGTGGAACAAAGTCCGTATAATTCTCTCCAGAAGGCGGAATTATATGCCATTCTTATGGTGCTAAGGGATTTTAAAGAACCTATTAATATAGTCACTGATTCACAATACACAGAAAGAGTTATTTTACATATTGAAACTGCTGAATTTATACCTGATGATACAGAACTAACCTCATTGTTTCTCCAGGTTCAAGATTTGATCAGGAACAGGCTTTGCCCTATGTACATAACACACATCCGATCCCATACGGGTCTGCCAGGTCCTCTAGCACAAGGTAATGCAGAAATCGATCAATTATTGATTGGCAGTGTGATACAAGCCTCTGAATTTCATAAAAAACATCATGTTAATAGCAAAGGTTTGAAGAAAGAGTTTTCAATTACATGGCAACAAGCTAAGGAGATTGTAAAGAAATGTCCTACTTGCTCTTTCTATAACCAAATGCCACTGCCTGCAGGGGCTAATCCAAAGGGCACCCAAAGGAATGAAATCTGGCAGATGGATGTGTTCCACTTTGCAGAATTTGGCAAATTAAAATATGTTCATCAAACCATTGACACTTATTCAGGCTTTCAGTGGGCAACTGCTTTAAGTTCAGAAAAAGCTGATTCAATAATCACTCATTTATTAGAAGTCATGGCTATCATGGGTATACCTACACAAATAAAAACGGACAATGGTCCTGCTTATGTTTCTAGGAAAATGAAACGGTTTTTTGATTATTACAATATCAAGCATGTTACAGGTATACCATACAATCCTACAGGTCAAGTGGTCATAGAAAGATCAAATCGAACTATAAAAGATATGTTGAACAAACAGAAAGGGGTGGAAAACACCCCCAGAAATAGGCTACATAATGCTTTGTTAACCTTGAATTTTCTCAACGCTAATGAGAAGGGAACAACGGCTGCAGAAAGACACTGGATAATGGAAAAGTCTACTGAACTAAATCAACCAGTTTATTTCAAGGATGTGCTGACCTCACAATGGAAGCCAGGATATGTGCAACGTTGGGGAAGGGGTTTTGCTCTTATCTCCACAGGTGAGGAAAAATTGTGGATACCATCAAAATTAATAAAGGTTCGGTTTGAAGAAGAGAAGCCACTTGGAAAAGATAAATAACAATTCTTTCATAAGGATAGCGAACATACTGATGGTAAGAAATACAGATAGGTTGGAGGCAGGGTTCTTTTCTTATCTCCACAGGAAAATACTCATCTTCAAAGAAATTGAGGGACCCTGAATATTTAATTACTGATGGATGGACACATTTTGTAAGTATTAATTTTTATTTCTATGTCTTATTAAACATTTCTTTATAAATATATAGAGCTGGTTTTGAAGTTGGACTCTGGCTCAGTCCCTCTCCAATTCCAAGCCTGTTAGTAAGAGAAAAACCCAGAGTTTCTGGAGTTTCTGTCTCATGTCAAGAGCCATGATGTGGGACAGAAAGAAATATGAATTTAGAAAACATCTTTGCTTTTCTTCATATCTATCATACTTTTCATTGAAAATATCTATCATGCCTTTCATAGAATATATATATATATGTATGTCTATATATGTCTATATGATTAATATTTAAGTTTTTCTCAGTGAACAATGAGTTTTTCCTGAAGTGACATTTGAAGTTTCCAGGAAGAAGATGGGGCCCCACAACAACAACTCTACTTGGTTGATATGACGTCATGATACTGATAGCGCTACTACAAGACCTGTTTTGGATACCAGCTGCACAAGACGATCCCAACTTCGTTAGCTGAAATGGTGCACATCTTGTACAACATTCTGGCCAGACCTCCACAAAATACTCAGAGACTATTTGCAATTTTAAAAGACATTGATCTTGAAATTTAACCATCATTTTACTTTCACAGGATCTCCCACAAAAGAATGTCGCCCCCATGACAGCTGGAAGTAATTCTAGAGGACGACGTCCCCTCTCCCAGTAAAGTTTACCCCTGGGTTTAGGGACATCATTTAGGGGTTGGGAGGTTGGGGGAGGAATTTTATAAGCTCAGGGATCATTTTGAAAAAAAAAAAAGAGGGAATGATGGGATAATAGATTTATAATTGTGAGTTACTGCTTTTAGACAAATATATTGGTATCAATTCTTGTATATTGAAACAAAGTTAAATTATATTGACTATTGTATGCATGCATGTTTCTATGTCTGTTTAAAACATTTTTATGTATTGACATATATTGTATTGATATATATATTGTATATATTTACCATATTGCAATGTACATTTCTACCTCTGATTAAGATACTTATATAATGTTTGTGTATTGATATATATTTGCCATATTGCAATGTATATTTGTACGGTGTTTATATTTGGAGGTCATTATCCTCATTTGTTACACAGTTGTTTATTGTCTTAGTCTTTAAGTTAGATAGATATTGAGAATTATATAGACAAATAGTCATCTAAGTTTGTCATTTATAATCAGACTAATCAGGTTCTTTAGATATATAGAGATTATACTCAGTATAGATAATCTTCAACCTCTTCAAAGAGCTGTAGAAAATGGCCTTTAATCTAACTCAGAGTTTCGTGATAGTGAGACACAATTGCTCCTGGCAACACCGCTCTATTCCCGAGAGAATGTTGAGCACCAAAGACACTCCACCTGGACCCTTTCTATTTGGCAGAACTGGCCTTTGGGCAAAGAAATGCCCATACCTCAACCACTGACACAGATACAGAGCGTGCATCAATGGATAAAACAGGACTGTCATATCCTGCCAAGACAGGGTAAGATAGTTTTGAAAAGTTCCTTGCCTTTAATAATGGTATGTCAGTTATGTTAGGCCTTAGCCAAAATTGGTTGACTCAACGTTGCAAACGAGACTTTGGGTGATTGCCCAGGTAGTCAGTTGTCTCTGTCAATTGTTGCACATTTTGGATATATCTCGTTTGTTGAGTAGTGTTTATTCCCTTCTCAGATCTTTGACTGAGTTGAAGATTATATAATTGTAGTTGCTCTTTACATTATTTGGACTCCTTGAGATAGAATGTTTAGCAAAGCTTTTGTTCTCAATATTGTTTGTTATATTTATTATTTGTTGTTATTGTATGTAGTTGTATTTGGTTTAGTTCTGTCTTATTTAGACAAAAAGGGGAGATGTAGGGATAAGTCCCGCCCCTTAGGGGGCGTGTTCGCCTCGGGCTAATGTCTGCCTATAAATTTGGCGAGCGTGCTCAGAGCTGTCTCTTCTGCTTTCCTGGTCTCCGCGGGAACGGTGGTTCTGTAAGTCTATTTCTAAATTAAAAATATATATATTCTTACAATCTGTCTGCATTTGTTTACGCCGCTACAGTAAAGTAACTCAATTAAAAATGAAAGCCCCTTGTAGTGTGTATGTCCATTCGTTATGCTGGTCTGATGGGCTTTGTTTAGATGGGTGTTTCTTTGCTTTCATTCTTTGGGAATTTTATACATGTGGGCAGCGTATTTCATAATATCAATCCCCTGATCTTACCAGGCCTGACCCTGCCAAAGTCTCCTTCCAATCGCATGTCTCCTTTTCATAACCCACTGAGTTATTCTACCAAGTAATAGATTTTGCGCATCTTGTAACACTTCTGAATCCTAACTGTAATGGCCAAATGTAAGAATCCAAGAAAGTGAACTTTAGTAAAGTTAGTCTGTCAGACACTGGGCATACACTATACTTTATGGTTTTTTAATATTTATTTATTTACTTATTATGTATACAATATTCTGTCTGTGTGTATGTCTGCAGGCCAGAAGAGAGCGCCAGACCTCATTACAGATGGTTGTGAGCCACCATGTGGTTGCTGGGAATTGAACTCAGGACCTTTGGAAGAGCAGGCAATGCTCTTAACCGCTGAGCCATCTCTCCAGCCCTGCTTTATGGTTTTTAAAGTGAATTTTAGTTTGATAATATAAACCAGTTTTCTTGAAAAAATGAGCAAGACTAATTTGGATCATATAATGATTAGAACTAAAACAATAAATTGAAGCTTCACTTACCTGCGGAAGGCGGCTTCCAGGAATACTGGGGAAGTCATGGTGCTCATTATGATAGCCCCCATTGAACATGAGGAAGTTCAAAGGCCCATAATATGAGGTGGTGTCTTGCCCCTTTAAGAACATGTAATGGTCAGCTATAAAATGCCCAGAAATTGGATTCAAACCCAGGCCAAATAGAGAGGCTGTCAACATGTAGACTAGAGACTTGATTCCCCAAACATAGTAAACTATAATGTCAAAAGTGATCTGGGCCACAATATTGATAGTTTCCAGAGAAGTAACTGGTTTGGGACTGACAAAATAAGGTCGAAGGAAAATAAACAAAGGCTGGAAAACAACCCAGAAAAGCTTCCTGAAGGTGGTGCAGAAGAACCAGCCCTCAAAATGAGAAGGAGCATCCACATCGATGCCATCCACTCCGAGGTACCGATGATGGTCCATGTGATACATTTTATAGGAAACCGAATATGGAATCCCAAAAGGGAGGTTAGCAAACATTCCAAACCAGCGGTTCCACAGCGCCCTGTAGTGGCCAAAGGGGAAATTGTGGGAAATCTCATGGATAGCCATAGTCATTGAGTGGTTAATGGAGCTACCAAAGACAAAGGACCAAAATAGGACCCATTTCCACTCCAAGTCTTTCACTAAGTAAAAGGAAGCTATGTGGGTGAGAACCATCGCAGTTATGATCCAGATCAGGTTGGGGTCAGGCTTCATCAAGGATTTTATCTCTGGATACTTTGCTGTAAGAAAAAAAAAAAAAACAAGAATCATAAGTGGCTAAAAATACAGTTATAATTACAAAAAAAATAGTGAACATAGCTAAGAAATTTTGATGGGGCCTGGGGAGAGAGCTCAGCTGGCAAAGCGCTTGCTATGCAAGCATGAAGACCTGGGTTTGACCTCCAGAACCCAAACAAAAACCAAGTTTGCTAGCATGATCCTCTCTCTGTCTCTGTCTCTCTCTTCTCTCTTCTCTCTCTCTCTCTTTGGTTTTTCGAGACAGGGTTTTTCTGTGTCACAACCCTGGCTGGTCCTGAACTCACAGAGATCCTCCTGGTTCTAAGCCCCAAATGTTGGAATTAAAGACATATGCCACCACTGCCCGGTACTAGTATGATCTTTTAATCCCCATGCTAGGGAGGCAGTGACAGGTGGATCCTTGGGGCTCACCGTCCAGCCAGCACATACCTGGTGCACACATATACACTTAGACACATACAGATTAAGTAAAGCCACCTAGATCAATATTTTACTTTCTCTAAGGGTGTAATGACAAATCAAGATTGAATAAAGTATTCTATCCCTTGAAGAAACAATTATTTGTCATTTATCATTTAGTTAGTATTTCTGAGCATTTAATAATAATATGCAAAACACTGTATGATATAATAAAGGAGCATAATTATTTATTTTCTAAATATTCTTGAATTTAGGTGGCAGACTTTGTGCTTGAGCAAAAGACACCCTTGTACAGGTCAAATCTATCTTCCCCTTTCCTGCCTCTCCTTGATACACTTCCTAATCTGTAGCAACAGTGTTTCCATTTCCAAATCAACTTGTTGTGGCTTTTCCGTGTGAAGGAGCTGTGGTACTTACCCTTCTATGTCTGCTGTTATCTGACATACTGACCTCCATACATTATCTACACAGAATGGCATATGCATAGTTCTGTGTGCAAAAGTCAATGAGGAATTGCTCCTCAGTCACTCTCCACCTTATAGTTTACATTTTAAAAGATACCTTTTAATTTTATGTGTATAAGGCTTTTGCCTGCATGTCTGTATGTGCACCGCGTGTGCTCCGTGTACATGGAGGTCAGAAGAAGGCGTCAGATCTCCTAGAACTAGAGTTATGGTGGTTGTGAGTCATCAGGTGTGTGTCTGGGTCCTCTGCAAGAGCAGGTGCTCGTATACTGAGCCATCTCTCCAGCCCCTCTACCTTGTATTTTGAGACAGAGCCTATCACTGAACCTGGTGCTCACTGCATCTTTCTTGATGTTTAATCAGTAACAGTCATTTTAGTCGTAGTGGGATATTATTGCAGGTTTGTTTACATTTCTCTTATATAAGGACACTGGGAATTTTTTCATTTATTTCTTGGCCATTTGTTGCTTTGGTTTTTGTTGTTTGCTTGTTTTGAGGAGTGCTGCTTCTTATCACTTACTCCTTTTAAACTTGGATTACTTGGGTGTTTTGTTGTTGTTTTTTAATAATCCTCATGCATTCTAGATATTAGTCCTCTGTCACATGACCAGTTGGCAAATACTTTCCATTCTTTCCCTCTCACTCTGTTGATTACTCTCTCTGCTCTGCAGAGGCTACTTGCTTTAGTAAAACCCTATTTTTCAATTTTTGTTGTGTTTGTTTGCCTTTGAGCTCCAATCCAGAAAATTGTTGTCTATACACGATCTTCACCTGTCTTCCCTATGATTTCTCTCTGTTGTTTCTGGTCTTAACTTAGGTATTTGATGCACTTTCAGGTTTTGTTTTGTTTTGTTTTGATTTGAGACAGGGTTTCCCCACATAACCTGACTGGCTTGGATTAAAGGCATGTGCCACCAAGCCCAGTTTGAGTCAGTTTTTGATATGCTGGGAGGAGTAAAATTTCAAAATCCTCTATGTGGATACTTCCATTACTTTGTGTGTCTACTTCAATTTCTCATGAATATGATGTAATTTTCATTATCAAAGTCTGTTATGTCATTGGTAAACTTCACTTTGAGCTAGTTAACTATTTATGGCTATTGTGAGGGGAACTTAGTATCTCTCTCCCACCAAGTTTATTTTTTTGGATATGGAGAAACTCAGGACTTTCAGTTAAACTTTAAAAAATTATTTTACGCCAGCTGGGCATGGTGAAGCACACTTTTAATCCCAGAACACGAGAGAGAGAGAGAGAGAGAACTGTAGATCTCTGATTTCAGAGCTAGCCTAGTCTACACAGTCTAGACAGTAGTTCCTAGACTGCAGGGCTGCACAGAGAAACCCTGTCATCAATATGAATGTTTGGCCTGAATGTGTCTTGGTACCATTGTCCTCAGAGGCCAGAGAAAGGTGTCTTGATACCCCGGCAGGGGAGTAACAGGTGTTCGTGAGCTGCTCAGAAGGGTGTCTGTTCCCCGGCACAGGAGTAACAGGTGTTCGTGAGCTGCTCAGAAGGGTGTCTGCTCCCCGGCACAGCAGTAACAGGTGTTCGTGAGCTGCTCAGAAGGGTGTCTGCTCCCCGGCACAGCAGTAACAGGTGTTTGTGAGTTGTCATGTCAGTATTGGAAACCAAATCTGGATCGTCTGCAGAGCAATAAATCCTCTTAACTGCTGAGCCGTATCTCCAGCCCCAGAGGTAAAGGGTTTTAAAAGATGGATTCTTGCTATGTTGGCTAGCCTGCGTCGGCCTCCCGAGTAGCTAGTACACAGGCGTTCACCACCATGCCCAGCAAATTAGCTAGTTCTTGGCTGCTGACTGACTCTGTGTTCTGCTGTGTTGCTGCCTCTGTGTTCTGCTGTGTTGCTGACTGGTCATGTCTAATAGCCTTATGTGGAGTCGGCTTTCCTGCATGTGCAGTCACCTGGGCAAATAGGACATTTGACCTTCCACCTTCTGCTTTCTATTTCCTGTCTCTTTTTGGCCCATTTACTCTTTCTTGGACTTCTTAGTATAATACCAAACCGAGCAGGAGTGGCAGCCTTGCCTTCTTCCTGAATGTGGAGGAAAAATGCTTTCGGCTCTTTCCCCTTTCAGTAAGGTGTTGGCTGGGCCTCACACAGGCCGTACAAACAGTCAACCACTCAGCTACATCCCCAGCCCCATTCTCACAAATTCTTTGCCAAGCACTTCATGCACAATAGTTTACGTAGCATCTACTGCTAAGAAGTTATTTTGTTCTCTTTCTGACATCGTTACCCTGTTTTATATAAATTTTGTACATTTGAGATTTGGAGGCGTGTCTGGTAGATCAGATAACTCTAGTGGCTTCATGAACTTCTTAGGAAGGGAGTGATTTTTCTCTTGAAGGTGTGCCTTGAAGTGTCAGTTTGTCGTGTAGTGCTGACTTTATTTCCATCACAGTCTCCCTGTACCATCTGTGACTGTGACTGGTGACTTTGGCACAGTGTACACTATACAGAGGCAGCAAGAGTCACTGCCCTCTAGGGTGTTGTGACATTGGGGACATGCTCATGGTTCAAGCGCTGTGTTGGGGACAGCAGAGGGTGTGGGGTCCTCACGGTGTACTTCTACAGACAGAAGAGGTGAAAAGCATGCTCTTTGCAGGTGGTCTAAACCGGGTTAGAATCCTCCCCCCAGCATTGACCTCCTTCCTTCTCACTGCAGCTTCTAAAAGGCAGAAAAGTCAAAACCCTGGAACGAGGGGAGGTTAGGGAATGTCAGAAAGAACCCAACTCAGCTGGGAGGGAGGAGCATTCCCTGTGAGCACAGAGGTTCCCTGTCTACTCTAGAGCTGTAAGACCTGGTCAGACTGGTTTAAAGCCCTAAACAACTTCCAGGATGAGCCAGGTATTTCTGTATTTGGCTGTCATCTGTGCTCCAGTTTCTTCACCCTGACAGCCAGAAAGGATGAGAATTGTCTATGAGCTACCCTTGTGGTCCCAGGTTTGTGGTAGGCTCACAAAGACAGGAGATGCAAGCACACCAGGACCTGTTCTCTCCAGGAAGCCCTGGGGCCCCTCAAGGGAACTTATCTGCATTGGTTCACATGTAGTTGGCTTCAGGGACCCCAAGATTTCCCAGGACCACTTCCTGTGCCTCACACTCCAGTGGCAGGCTATTTAGGAAATCCACTGCCCACTGAACATCCTTAGGGTCTCCTAGCTAGTGGATAAGGCCTGGGATGTCTCAGTCTGGAGATCCTTAACCCAAATCAGCAGGTTGGGTTGAGGGTGCCCATGCCCAGGGACCAGCCTCTGCCATGCATCCCCAAGGCTGTGAGCACCCATAACCTAGCCTAGGCCTCTCCTTCTATTGGGAACCTGAGCAGAGACCACACAACACACTCTGGCGCATAACCACAAGACCTCACCCAGGATCTCGAGCCTCCTCTGTGCATGCGGCTCATCGGTGTCGACCCGCTCAAAATCTTCCCGAGAAACGCGGCTCCCCATGGCTGGGCACGGACTTCTCTGGGTTCTGCACCACGTCCAACCTCTTGAAAGCAGAGGAGATAGAGACTGCGGCAGGCTCTGGTCTGCGGGTACCTGTGCCAGGTTGAGAGAAGTAACAGAAGGGCGGAGCCTAGCCCGCCCCGCCCCTTCACCTCATCCACCCCTCTTTCTGTCTAGCTCCTAGCTCTGGGGCCAGACTAGGAAGAAGTTTTTGCTAGGTGTGGGGTTCTGTAGCTCGTGAGCACCTGTGGGGTCCAACTCCTGGTCTCCTACAGGTGACCAGTGTCAGCCCCTCCTTCCCGCACGAGATGAAAAAGGAAAGCAATGTCTCTGGGTAGACAAGGCTGCTACCCAGAACCCTGGGGTGGCCGCAACTTCACCAAGTCAGTTGGATCCCCCTCTTTAATTCATGCAGCAACTTGAACTGTGTTTAGTTTCCAAAGTGAATGATCAGCAGACCGTGTGTGCGCGCGTGCGTGAACGTCTGCCTTCTCAACTGGAAAGCTTCTCCCACCCAGAAGGAAAAGGCAGGCTGTGTTGCACTGAAAGGCCTCTAAACAAAATGGAAACATGATTCTTGTGAGAGGGAAAGACGACATGGATTCTGTCCTTCCAATGTATGCATTTCTCTTACTGGCGTCTCTCACCGAGGTCATGAAGATCTTCATGAGGGGACCTTTCGTTTCAAAATCAACTACCACTTCTGTGCCCAATTAACTGGACTGGGATTACGGAAGGGCAGACAGCATGCTTCCTAATAAAAGGACACATGCACAGCAAACTATACACTGCCCGTGCTATGCCACATACCCGGGTCCCTGGATCAGACTGTCACTGTCTACAAACTAGGGAGGACAGTGATCATGCCAGGGCATACCACAGAGATGCTCTCAGCCTGGGCCATCTATAGGGAGCACCACCTTATAGTGACCTGGGATCTTCAAGAATTATAATCCAAGGAACATAAAGAAAGGCTTTCTAAAAGATGTACCAACCAGCTTCAATATGTTCATCTTATTAAGATTCAGAAGCATTCATGCCCCCACGTTGGGTAGTATTGCTTTGCTGGGCAGTGGTGATGCACGCCTTTAACCCCAACACTAGGGAGGCAGGACAGGCAGATCTCTGTGAGTTCGAGGCCAGCCTGGTCTACAAGAGCTAGTTCCAGGACAGGCTCCAAAGCTACAGAGAAACCCTGTCTCAAAAAATTAAAAAAGAAAAAGAAAGAGAGATTCATATGCAAAGGTTCCTAGTTTTAAAAACTTACCTGGCATTTAATTTAGATAGGCAGATGTGTTAGGATGTTAGTTAATGTTAAAAAGTTCACTGGGAAGCCGGGTGGTGGTGGCGCACGCCTTTAATCCCAGCACTCAGGAGGCAGAGGCAGGCAGATCTCTGTGAGTTTGAGGCCAGCCTGGTCTACAAGAGCTAGTTCCAGGACAGGCACCAAAGCTACAGAGAAACCCTGTCCGAAAAACCAAAAAAAAAAAAAAAAAAAAAAAAAGTTCACTGGGAACTGGACAGTGCTGGTTATGTCTTAATCCCAGCACTTTGAAGGCATAAGCAGGCAGATTACTATGAGTTCAATGCCAACTGGTCTATAGAGCTAGTTCTAGGACAGTAAAGGCTACACAAAGAAACCAAAAAGAAAAAGAAGAGGTTTGTCTCGAAAACCAAAAAGAAAAAGAAGAGGAGGAGGAAATAAAGTGTAATGGGGATTAGTATTAGAGTTACAGTTTCTCAAAAGAGTTCTTATCCTTTAGAAGTAAGGACCAGATAAATGCCAGGGAAAAGAGCCCTAAGATAAAACAGCTCCAGCACCAAGTCCTCTATGTTACAACCATAGGCTGCAGTTCTTGGTGTATTGATAGGAAACGGGTCCCAAGCATAGGTTAAACATGCAGCAATAGGTATGGAGAGAATGGTGTGAACATAATAAATGTACTTTGTTTTCTTGCATATGAAAAAATTCTCAAGGCATTCAAGGAGTGATTGCAGTGTGCCTGAGCCAGTAGGTGAGGGGATGTGAATGGAACAAATTCCCTCTAAGTCTAAACAATGGCCTCTTCTTTCTTCCTCCGCGGTGCTGTGAACCGCGGTGATGTGATGTGCGCACCGCATCGCCAAGGCGCCAGCAATTTTTAAGCAATTTCCCAGGAATGTTTTCTTTATGTGTTTTTTAAAAACCTGCAAAAGCGCTTCTTCAGGTACTTCCAAGGCCCCTCCTCAAAGCTCCATTTTCCTCCCGGGTTGGGTGCACGCTTGGCTGGAGAGGGTGGGGGCATGTGTCCACCCTGAGTACGCTAGTGGCCCACTGTATGAAGAAGCAGCTTTCCTCACGCCCCCTCCCTGCTTCTCCACTCAGACCTGAACTTTCTATTTGCTCTCAGCGCCCCTGATTGAGACCAACCCTGGAGCCTGCTGCTTACAGAAACTGCTTAGGCCGTTTTCGTGATTCCCTTTCAACACCAGAGCCTAGTGTACGTCCTAATCTGGCCTTTTCTGATGCGCGGAGCTATTCGGACCCAACCCCCTTCTGTAATATTTAGATTTTGTAAACGTAGACTCTAGGGAAGGGTAAGGAGAAAAATGATTCAGATTGCTTTAAAAATACGAATGTTTGACATTCTAAGAAAAGTACTTGAGTTATAGAATAATTATGAGAGGGACCCTAGTTTTAGCTACACCCGGGTCTACAATTTTAGCACCTCTCACTCTGGCATAGGAACAGAAAAGTAAACTAAGGGACGCACAGACCCAATGTTTTGGGCTTTGAAATGGCCTGATCTGTTATCTAGCTTTTGTAGCTTTCGGGAGTGAGGCAAGAGATTTTCAATGAGATAATCGCCTGGGTCAGTCAGAGGGATCCGTCCAGTGTTCTGTCGCCATCCTGGAAGTCTATAGGCCCTGATAGTGCTGGCTATCAGGTGAGCTAATCGGGTGAACTTCCCCATTGCCATTCTTTAATTAAGTCATTAATTTGTTCTGCTTTACGCACTTGAGTAAGGTGTACCTCTGTAGTTCATGCTGCTCTCAGATCTGAGGTCATCCTTCTCCGCCTGGGGCTACAGGTCCACGCAAACACACCCAGCTGTCATTTAATTTTTTTTTAATATTTTTATGGTTTATTTAACTTTATTTTATGTGCATTGGTGTGAAGTGTCAGATCCCCTGGAACTGATCTTCAGACAGTTGTGAGCTGCCATGTGGGTGCTGGGAATTGAACCCGGGTCCTCTGGAAGAGCAGTCTGTGCTCTTAACCACTGAGCCATCTCTCCAGCCCCATGTCATTTAATTTTTGAACAGGCATTGGAGCAATTATCCAGCTGAACTCTTAGAATGACTTTACATGGTTTGGGCCTGCGAGATGCTTTGTCAATGTTGGTTCACAGAAGAAAAATTATAGTAAGCGTTCCTCATTCCTGTCAAACAAACTTTGATCGTGTATCTGTTTCTGGATATCAGGTGGGCACAACAGACAGTGAGTAATTCTTTTGCCAGTACATACATGATTAATTGTTGTTGTTGTTGTGCTTTGGGATGAGTAATGACCACGTCTGTGCAGTTCAAACAGTCATACGCGTGGCTGTAACTAGAGAAGAGCTAATGCCGCTCCAGCACTCCAGCTCACCTGTCTGTCCAGGCCTTCAGGCCTTCCTTGGCATTATCGTTCCTTCCCAGTAATTGAGGTCTTTGTGCCACCGAGTTCTGGCATCTTTAGACCCATGTGCTCTCCAGTCTCAGAGTCTACACAACTGAGCTGCCTCCCTGGGTGTCCCTTTTCTCCCAAACACAGCCTTCCCTTTCAGAGGGATGGCCTCCACCAGCTAAGTTGTTTACACATTTCTGTGGGATTCTGGGAGATTCTGGGGGGTTGTCCTCAAGTCTCTGGTTTAGAAACGTTGGTTCCAAGTCGCCAATCTCCTGGTTAACTGACACATCACAAGCAGGGCCAGCCTGCCACGCTAGGCTGTCTGGTTATCCCGTGAGAGCCAGATGGTTCCTCAGGTTCATTCTCTACTGCTCAGCTCAGCTCAAGAACAAAAGCAGACTGTGGGGGAACTTATATCATGGCCTCTCTAGAAACAGGAGAAAATGTAATAAACCCAACTTAGCAACAGCTTTATAGACAACCCAATGGAGCTTACTTGTTAGAATAAAAGGGAAATAGGTGGAAAATTAATGTACAAAATCACTCTGCTTTTACATACCAACAGCAACTGTCTCAAAGGTGCCATTAAATAGAGCAACGCCACTTACCAAAACACAAGCATCTAGAAACACACTGCAGCAAAGACCGTAAGACCTTTAAGACTGAACGTCAACAATCTGGTGGGAAGCGTGCAGGGGAGTGAACCAGGGACACAGGTGACAAGCACACACTGCCACCCAGGACCACACTCCATCAACAACGTTAGTTCTTATGGAAGACACCAAGGACGTGAGCACAGCTTGAAAAAGACTATTCTAATAGACTTGGAGGACACATTCCCTAAAAAATGGAAGTTCTCCCGTTCAGCTAGTTGATCTACATTCAGATCCAAACTAATTCTAATCGGACTTCCACGGAGAATTTTGTTGGAAATGGATCAGATGGTTTTTAAATTTACATGGAAGAGTGACAACAAGAGCAAGAAACACCAAGATAGCTGCATAAGAAGGGAGTGACCTTCACCAGAGGTCATAGATTCTTAACCCAGTTTAACAGGCAATTTATAGAACATCATGGCTACCTCAGGCTGCTGTAACAAATCCCCATGGACTTGGTGGGTTACTGAAAACAAAAATCCATCCCTCTAACTCACAGGCAGGCAAGTATACAACCTTGGCACTGGCAGCTCCAAAACCTGATGAGATCTCTTTTCCTATTTCATAGAGGGCATCTTCTCACAGTGTCCTCAGGCTGGAAGGAGAAGGAAGTTCCCTTGAGTCTCTCTTATACGGGCACGAACCCTACCTAGATATGAAATCCCTGCCCTCACTTCTCCAGAGCATGCCTA